AGGCGGACCCGCCGCCTTTATCCGACAGCGACTTCAATCTAATCATAATAAAGAAACAGCACAACTGCTTCATACACTTCGATCCTCAAATTTTGTGATGTGCTTGGTAACTCTTCAAAAAGTGATGAGCTATACGAAGATGATCCCAGAAGTACCCGGTCTGACCTAGAGATGGCGATAGTTGTTTGAAAAATATCATTGTATTAGAAAGTATGCAACCTATAAAGCATATATCGAGCAAAAACAGTGTCGTGAAGATGTTTCAATTGAGTGTTTAGCGAAGTTTCAAAGCAACAAAGCAAATTTTTTGCGTCGTTTCATAACCATGGATGAAACACGGGTCCATCACTTCACATCTGAGACAAAAGAACAATCAAAACGATGGACTCAAAAGGGACAACCGGCTCCAAAGAAGGCGAAGACCGTTTCATCTACAGGCAAGGTTATGGCGTCGTTTTTTTGGGATGCGCGTGGGATAATTTTCATTGACTATCTTGAAAAAGATAAAACTATCAACGGCGAGTTTTATGCGAACTTATAGCAACTTTTGAGCGATGAAATCAAGCAAAAACGGCCGCATTTGGTTAAGAAGAAAGTGTTGTTCCATCAAGACAATGTACCAGCTCACAAATTCGTTATCGCAATATCCAAAATTAACGAAGTTTGAATTGCTACCTCATGCACCCTATTCACCAGATTTAGATCCCTCGGTTTATTTTCTGTTTCCAGACTTGAAAAAATAGCTCAGTGCTCAAAGATTTTCCAACGATGAAGAAGTGATGTCGGCAGTTAATGGCTATTTTGAGGAGCAAGACAGTTCTTATTATAAAAATGGTATCGAAATTATTGAACATTGCTGGGAAAAGTGTATAGAACTCAAAGGAGATTTTTTTACAACATTTTTGTATTTTCTTCATTGGGTCGGGTACTTCTGGGACCACCCTCGTATATTCATTGTAGCTATCTAAACAACTGCAATCAATCAACAGCATTCAGCCATGTGGACGGTGTTGTTAGTGCTATGCAACTTTTGAGGAATAAAACTGGCGACGAGTATCCCCGTCTCTATAAAAAAGCAAAGGCAAAGGCAGTTGAACATTCACTTATTTCAAAATAAATTTATTCATCCCATTCCTTAAACATACAATTCAGCAATTGACTGAAAGGTTTGAAGCACCGTACAGTGATATCAGTACTATCTGCTGTGTTGCCTACGAATTTTGCGGCCAATTCTGAAATCGAAGCTTAGATAAGTGCAATCAAAAACTATATCCAAAAATCTATACATTGCTACAAATTTTAGCTACCATACCTGTTTCCACTGTCACCCCAAAAAGGTCTTTTTCAAGCCTAAGGAGACTGGAAAAGTATACTAAGTGACATATAAATCCGAACACCCAGTTTAAATGGTTTTATTTTAATAAAAGTTGGTGAATGTATTTATCTTACTGTAAATAACAAGTGAAAAAATGTTCAGCCTTATCAGTTGGACATTCCGGTTTTTATACTGCTTTTTTTTTAGTTCACTAACGCTCTAAAAATGAATATTTCAGCCGCAGTAAAGAATCAACGTTGGCGGATTTTGGTTCTTGACATCCTTTACGATCGGTTACGATGCCTAGAGTACGGAGACCTGTACGATTTCGTCAACTCAGTGAGTTTTATAGGGGCCGTATAGTGGGACTTCGGGAAGCTGGACTTTCTTTTCGGGCAATTGCAGTTAAAGTGCAAAGAAGTGTAGACACTGTGGTTAGGTGTTGTCAGGCATGGCTTAGAGAAGGCCGTACGCAAAGAGCAAGGAGCAATGGACGCCGCCGTAGAACAACAGACCGTGAAGATCGCCGCCTAAGATTATTGGCCTTAAGGGACCGTTTCTCCACTACCAGGTCCATTGCAAATGAATGGTTTGCAGACCACGGAAGACCCATTGGCATGCGAAGTGTTTACCGACGAATGAGAAGTTTTGGCTTGTTTTCATACCGGCCACACTGGGTCCTCCCTTTAACTCGAGAACACCGACGTAATCGCCTTGAGTGGTGCAGACAACGGACACTCTGGGATCAGGAATGGAACAGTATTGTCTTTAGTGACGAGTCTCGATTTTGTTTAAGCATGCACGATGGTCGTGCCAGGGTTAGAAGGCGACGTGGTGAAAGGAGGAATCCACAGTTTTTTGTTGAAAGACATGTTCATCACACTGTTGGAGTTATGGTTTGGGGTGCTATACCTTATGGTTCCAGGTCACCTTTAATCTTCATCAGAGGTAACATGAACGCGCAGCGCTATATCCACGAAGTTCTAGAACCCAATCTTTTACCCAATCTTGACACCCTGGCAGATCCAACTTTCCAACAAGATAATGCCCGACCACATGTTGCAAGAGTCACAATAGACTTCTTTCAACATAATGATGTCACATTGTTACCATGGTCACCAAGATCTCTCGACTTATCCCCAATTGAGCACGTGTGGGGTATGATGGGTAGGAGATTGCTCAATTTGCAACGTCCTCCTCAGACTCTAGAAGCACTTCGAGAGGAGTTGGTGGTTGCCTGGAATAAGATACCACAGGAGGACATTGACCACCTGATCAGAAGCATGCCTAGGCGCGTTGGAGAATGCGTAGCACATCAGGGTGCATCCACACATTATTAAAGGTCAAAGGGCTTCATTAAGTACCTACTTATACAAAATTTTATTAAAATAAAACCATTTAAACTGGGTGTTCGGATTTATATGTCACTTAGTATATTTATTTGTACATTGAGTGAATGAATATTATCATTATTCTATATTTTGCTTGATACATTTTTCAAGCAATATTCATATTTTTTATTCCATACTTCTCACAAAGCATCTTCAAAAAATAATAATCGGTCAATAGGTCAATTCGAGATAATTCGGTGTATATCAAACGAAACTACTAGCGGGATAACTATAACTGGAAATCTCTACTAATTTATTCTCACTCTCATTGTCGTTTTCTTGTGGTCTGATGAATACGGATAATCTGTTCGTTATCTAACGGATTTCACAAGTTACAGCTTTTAAATAAAATCGATACTTCCTTCTTTGTTACAGTTTAGGTAATTAATCGGGAGTTTTATGCGTAATTGATTATTTACTTTTTGTAGGATTTAGATAACTGCATTATAATACTATTAAATAGGGCACCCAGAAATACAGTTAGCCTAAAATCTGATAGGTTGGAAGGTATTACCAAAGCTTTTAGAATCATAATATTTTGAGATGTCCGACTAATCGATACTGACGTTGAGTTCTTTTTATAGTCGGAATTACGAAAGATGGCGATTACGTCATCATTTTAGTTTGTAGTAAAGACAAACGACAGCGATTTGTGAATATTTTAAATGTAGTTTCAGATATGTTAGACAGAGACAAACAATTTTATTGTCTAAACAAACTGTATTGCTAATTGACATGTATCAATGATAGACGATCTTTTCATGTTGCATGATCGATCATATTTGAAAGATGAATAGTTAGGTTATGTTAAAGCAGGTTAGGTTATTTTCGAATAATCCTTAATTCCTGTAAGTATTCTACTTATAACTTTTTTTTTTTTAATTAAAATCATCATTAAGGTATCATTTAAAACCATGAAATAAAATGAAAATAAAAATAATCACTGAAATAACCTAACTTCGCAAAATCATAATATAAATTTGTTGTTACTATGTTCCTGTCATCGTGATTTTATCATCGACGTACGACCATTGATTCCTTCGGTACAATTTATGATATGACGTAATAGTCATCTTTCGCGATTTTGACTATATGTGGGTGGGCTATTAAACTGAGCGGTTTTTAAAAAATCATAATAATAATCTTGAGGTATCCCGTATCCCCAGAGAAAAAATCCAGTGGCCTGAGACTTGGGCTCCGGGGCGGCCAAGGAATTTACCCTCGTCGCGATATCATTTTTCCGCTAAACATTTCGTTTAAAACTGCTAAAGACTCTTTGGCGGTTATGCAGTTGTGGAAAGAAAAAGTTACGTAGCGTTGCTGTGTACCGATTAGAATCTACTGTTAGAGACTGGCCTTGCTTGTTTTCGAGGAAATAGGGTCCGATGATTCCTTCAGCCGACATTGCCGCCCAAACTGCGGTTTCAATTCCTGCTAGTTCAAGTTTATATGGGTGCAATTTGAGGTCTTTTACCAAAATACAGACGTCGCAACTTCGCTTACAATTTCCTCTGTTCGTATGGACCTTGGACGCCCCGCAGGTTTCTGATACAGGGTCGAAACGGTAGACTCGAACTTTCTGACCCACGACCTGATCACACTTTCACTAGGATATTGGTTTAGATCAACTCAGAGAGAAACAGACACCGCGCACGCTGCTCACCAGTGAAACGCTCCATGGCGACTAAATTTCCTAGGGCCAAGCTACCCGTGTCTCGCTCCCGCGTGCCTGTCACGATCAATGCGGTTTCTGGTCCACCCTGTATAAAAGGTATAGATTAACTACTCGAATTAATTTTGCCGCCGTTTTTAAACAAATCTGGGTGAGAATTACATCACGGTTTTGCGGCACGTGGAAAAACAACAATAGGAACAGTGAAAGCAGCTGATTTGACGCGTCCATCGCTGTTGCCGCTAAGCGGCGACCGCAGGATGCAATAATCTCCGACAGCCGGCAGATTTGTTAATCTGCGAGACAGTATCCGTAAGACCGAAAAACATGCAAATTGACTGATATAAAAGGTGTTTGCAGCGACGCCGGGGCCAGTAGTAAGCCTGACATTCGGTTCGCGCAGGTGGTCACAAGACACAGAACGCTCGTCATGATCCGTACAGGGGACTATTTATAGTTGCCCTTGTGGCTTCGGCTGCGCTGATCTTGGTTTCGGAGGCAAGAGAAATAACCAGGAGAGAAGCAGCTGACGACCTCGTTGCTGCCGCGTCCGATAAAGGTCACGGACACCATTGGAAAAAAGGCGGAGGCAAAGAACACCATACCGAACACCACAGCAGCCATGGCGAAAAAGGAGACAAGGGATACAAAGGCCACCATCACCACGAGAAAGGCGAAAAGGGGCATCACGACAAAGAGGGACACAAAAACATTACGAAGAACAAGGCGGACACAAAAACAACATCACCACGACGACGGATACCACCACGAACACCACAAAGGCGAAAAAGGCGAGAAAGGTCACAAATACGGCGAAAAAGGCAGCTACAAGAAGGGACACAGTACAAAAGGAGGTCACGACGTGCACAAGCTCGACGAATACAAAAAAGAAAAACACTTCTACGACGAGGACCACGACAGCGGACACCACGAAAAGCGCGGCGGATTCCACCACGAGAGCGGATACAAGAAAGGCGGACACAAGAAGGGCGGACACCACCACGGCGGTCACCATGAGTCCCACCATGGCAAGAAGGGACACCACGAGAAAGGGGGACACCACCATCACGAGAAAGGACACAAGAAAGCTGGCGGACATGAAAGCCATCATCACCATGATGCGAAACATGGCAAGAAAGGTGGACACGAAGGACACAAAAGTGGGGGTTCAAAAAAGGACATTAAGGACAGAAGCAAATACATTTGGTGCCTAAGGATGCCCAAGAAGGTTTGATGGCATATGCTTTTTGATGATAGAAGACACTGTAAAACGTGTACGTGTACGGAGAGTATTATGAGGTATTTGGAACTTGTTACAACTAAAGGAAGACGGTTAATGCTTTAAATCTTAGACCAAAGAAAACAATTTATCTTTAAACATGCAGGATGTCACTAATAGTAGGAAAAGTATTTTTATTTATTTTTTTGATATATTGCAGAAATCTTAATACTTATTTGAACAAAACTAACGACAACATAAATATATTATTTTAATCCCACATGCTTCTCTGGCCAATAAAACCACATGTATTGACAGATCTTTTTTTCAATAACATACGTGACCTGATTATATTGTCGTACTGAAACCGCATTTGTGATTGAAACGTACAGTAAAGATCTGTCAATAAATTTAGTTCTATGGGCCATCAAGCATGGGAGATTATCGACGTGTAATCAGATGTTACATTTATTAATTTGTCTCCCATTAGTCAGAAGTATACAAAAACATACGTGCTTCAACCCCATGTATCACAAATATGTTTAACAATTTCTCTAGTTGTTGGGTACTAAGTGGTATCCCGCATTACTTTTTCTATGTATAACTTGTATATTTCAGTTTTCATCTGTCTGACGTACAATGGAGTGAGTTATGAATCATTAGTGTTCAAATTCGGTTTTGTAACAAAAGACAAGACCGCTTTTTTATTCTTATATGCATCTGGCTTTAAGCGTAATTGTTTTCTTAGTTTTTGTAAATATTCTCTAGCTAATAAGAATTCAAATAAATCAAATTCTACTTAATGGTTACAGCAATACTCACTTTGGTCTGTATCTAGAAGAAAACCTCAATAGTAACATTATCATATTTTGTTGGTAGTCAGTCTCAACGTTACCCTTATTTGTTATTATTTATTGTTGACTGTCCATTGTTGACCATGTGATCTTGTGAATGCATACTTTTTGTAATTTTTATAAACAGTTAGTCATTACGTTAGTTTTTAGCTATTAAGTGTGCGCATGTAAAATAAATGATATTTTTTGCATTTTGATGCGTATTTTATTTGAATGTTTTTGAGTGGTAACAGTGACCGATAGGTAATTCCCAAGAGCGACCTCGATACCTACTTCACGAAGCAACCTAAAATTTCGACAGATGACTCTTAATCGCTAATCACCCACAGTTCATCATCGAAAGTCTCGAAAGTGGAAGGTTCCTTAACGTATTCGAACCAGTTAGAAGTGCAACCAACAATACAAGAGTACATTAAAACGACTGTGGTGACTCCATCTCTCGGGAGCACCACGGAACAACCCTCTTGATCTGCCCATACACCTTAATCGTTATTAAGGTTGATTCTCACTATACATTCCGTTTCCATTCCGTAAATTATTGAAATTAAATATTCGCCTTCGCTTAAAGCAGGCTATTGCGTGTGTATGCACATTATCCGTAAGGTATACTGTGTATACAATCACATTGTATGGAACGTTTACGAAACTGATATGGAATGGAAACGGAATGTATAGTGAGAATCAACCTTTAATTGTTCCGTTCCTCGGCGATACCGGGTACTACAACCCTCAGCTATACTATAACTATCTAAAACTGTAATGACTCATCGATGTTCACGTGAACATCACTTAACTACCAGTAGTCGGCTGTTCATAGGCGGGATATGATGTTTTAACATGGGTGAACTAGATTTGTCACATGCTTAATAAAGAGTGGTTTGAAACAGATTGTAAGTCAAAAATTTTGGAATTACCTTTATTCATCGTCGCTTCCACTTACATCTGACAGTAATAAACTGTCGCTATCGCTTTCCTCGTTGAAATCGACTATAACTGGCTCTATGATGGTTGTCGATGTGGTGGTCAAGCTGCCACATTTTGTTTCTTCCTTCACAACGTGACGGATAGCATTCTGCCAAGCTTCGGGCGTTACTAGCTGTATGGAAGTCTCAAGTAAAACCTTAACGTCTGGTAATTTGAAGGTTGTGTTATGGCGCGCAATATAACCCTTCACTTGAGCAAAGATGAGCTCTATTGGGTTCAGTTCACAGTGGTAGGGCGGTAACCGCAGCACAGTGACACCACATTGACGGGCCATCTCATCAGTCACGTAACTAATGTTCGCAGGTTTGTGCTGTTTAATTTTTCATACAATTCCGCTTTCACACATGAATCGTCAAACGGGATTCCTTTTTCGCGCAACCATTGCTGCGTGTCACTTTTCGAGATCCCATAGTCGGTACACGTTCGGCTCGACGACTATGGTAGGAAGCATTATCCATGACGATCACAGAGTTGGGCTCAACTCGCGGAAGCACCCCTTGAAACCAGCTCTCGAAGCAGCTGGCATTCATTTCGTCATGGTAATCACCTCCTTTCTTAGAGACGAAAATCAAGTCACACTCTTCTAAAAAGCCACTATCGCTACCAATATGAGTTACGATCAATCTTTGACCTTTCCCTGACGGTCCACGAAGACCTGTTGACAAACCTTCAATGCTTGCTTGTCGGTTACTCGCTACGTTTTTGTCTATCCAGGTTTTTTTAACTGTGTGACCTGCATTTACCCATGTCTCGTCCAAATAATAGATTTTTCTGCTTTGTCGCCTATATTCAATCATTTCGCGTAGGTATTTTCGACGCCAGGCGACTATTTCAGGTCTCTCTATCAATACTGACTTCCGATTACGCGTTTCGTAACGAAAATTAATTTCGTGCAGGGAATTTTCCTCATTACCTCGATGCTCATTTGGGGTATAATTTCATTTTCCTTGATCGCTGCATGTACAGCCTTGAGGGTTGGTATCTCATTCCTAAAGAAGAATGAATGTACGGTTCGCCTTAACGCTATTTTGCTATCGTCATCCAATTTAACGGCCTTTCGTCCCTTCAAATTAAACTTTGGATCAGTAATAGCTCCAGTTTTCTTCTTTTCATGCACCCACCCTGCGAATGGTCCACTCTGGAACGCCTGTCATACTTTCACAACGCGCGAGTGCATCTCCTTGCGACATAGTTCTGTTCAGATAATTGAACACGATTTCTTTCGCGTCCCTCTTCAGTGCTTTACGAAGCCGTCTACTTGTTCCCTGGCTTTCAGTACTTCCACTCGTGCCATTTGTACTCTCCATGGTTAAGTATAACCAAAACAGTAACCACAGAAACCACAACAATAACAATCACACAACAATTCTTATAAAAAACACACAATGTGCGATCGCTCAACGAAACACGTTCCAATGCGTTGCCGACGCCTATGAGTCTGCCGGTCGAGGCGCGTCTTTGATTTCATTGGTTCTACCGCGGAGAACAATCAGCCATTATTTCCATCTCTGTCTGTGCTGTTGACCACCGCAAAGCCACAGAGACGACATATGTCGTACGCCATACGGCTGTACTGGAAGGAAGCCGGGATCGAGCTCTGATCACGTATTGATCACGCGTATGAGTCATTACAGTTTTAAATAGGTGTAGTATAGTTCCGTGTTGATCCCGCCACGAGGCTTGTTCAATACGTACCCATTGTTTGACGACAGAGGGCGTTCCTGAGGGATATTGGTGTGCTGCACTCTATCAAATGGCGGCTCAACAAATTTCAGACTGATGGATGGGTTTGTTTGGATTTGGCAGCCATTCGAATAACACGTGTTCGTGATTTTCGCTAAGATGAAAAATAGCAGTATCGTTCGGTAATTCGCTTTTTGTTTTTGGGTGGGATAAAATGCGCGGAGATAAAAGCAAAGTTGGATGCTGTTTATGGGGACGCTTCGCCATCTATGACCACAGTTACATATTGGTCCAACGAGTTTAAACGTGGCGAACATCCGTTTTTGATGAGGCGCGACCAGGACGTGGTTACCACAAAGTCCACGACATGATTCTCGCTGATCGACGAACGAAAGTGCGCGAAGTAGCAGACGACGTAGGTGTGTCGCCTGGAATTTCATCGATATTTTACATGATAAGTTGGAGATGAAAACATGATTTCTCCCGGTGAATCAGCTCCAAAGAAGGTGAAGACGGTCCCATGGCGGCGATTTTTGGACGCGAACGGCGTCAATCTCATGGATTTTTTAGAGAATGGAACGTTCACTCACTACAGTGGGTTTATTGGATCGCTTCGACAAAAAATTGAAGCAGACAAGTCCACATTTGGCGAAAAAGAAGGTGCTGTTTCACCACGATAACGCACCAGCACATTCATCCGGAGTTGTCGCCGCCAAAATGCATGAATTGCGTTATGAAGTGCTGCCGCACCCTCCGTATTCACCCGATCTGGCCCCCTGCGACTTTTTCTTGTTCCCTAACATGAAGAAATGGCTCGCGGGAAAAGAATTTTTTGGAGGGATTAAATAAACGACAGCAACGTTGGGAAAAGTGTATCTTTCTAATAGGAGACTATCTTAAGTAATTTTTTTTTTTCGATAAAATGGTGTCTTCATTTCTAACACGGGTACTTATTATAATGGGTTGTCCAAAACGGACGCAGGAAAGTAAACGCATATTAAAACAAGAAAGATTGATATTCAAATCAAGTTGGGTACTTTATTTTGAAGGTTCATTTATACCATTTATGTATGAAAAATAATATCGCTCAAATGTTCACCACGACTGGATTTACAGACGTCCACGCGATGGTCGAAATTTTCAATGACATTTTGCAACATGCTCGGTTCTATGGCATTTATCTCGACAATGATGTTGTTTTTGAGTTCTTGGAGGGTGGCTGGTTTGTTGACGTAGACTTTGCTTTTCAAATATCCCCATAAAAAGAAGTCCAAGGGAGTCAAATCGCACGATCTTGGTGGCCATGGCACATTTCCTCTGCGCGAAATCACGCGATCACCGAAGGACTGCAATCGATGGATATTGACGTTGGTTGTGTGGCATGTTGCACCGTCTTGTTGGAAATAAACATCGTCCATATAAATTCCTTCAAGTTGCGGCAAAAAATAGTCCTCATCATCATCACGTGATATCATGCACTGACGGTCACTGCGT